TTAAGAGGTGACTTAATAGAGACATACAAGATGATCAGAGGATTAGATAGGGTGGACAGTGGGAGCCTTTTTCCTCGGATGGTGGTGGCTAGCATGAGGAGACATAGCTTTAAATTGAGGGGTGATAGATATAGGACAGATGTCAGAGGTAGGTTCTTTACTCAGAGAGTAGTAAGGGCGTCGAATGCCCTGCCTGCAAAAATAGTAGACTCACCAACTTTAAGGGCATTTAAATGGTCATTGGATAAACATATGGATGATAATGGAATAGTTTATGTTAGATGAGCTTCAGATTGGTTTCACAGGTCCACGCAGCATCGAGGGCCGAAGGGCCTGTACTGCGCTGTAATGTTCTATGTTCTATGTTCTATAAGCACGGCACACTGGGCTAGTCTCTAACTCCAAGGGTCCTGCCAAGTGACTGTTCATTGGCTGCATGAGACTGTGAGACTCTGTCCCTCTCCAGCATTAAACTGAGGGGGAGGTTCACTGAGGTCATACAGGGTTAGGATTAAGCCTCACGCCCAGGAATGAATGCAATAGCTGAGGAGGGTGTGTTATGAGCAGGTGACCTCTCCTGGTTAACATAGAAATGCAAGGGAGCTTCACCTGACAGCATCCTAAAATCGTTTTGAGCCAGTGAAGTGCTTTGTAAAGTGTAGAGATTTTACAATGTGGGAAAATCAGCAGTCAGTCTGTGCACAGCAAGATCCCTCAGACAACACCATCATAACGACCCGATAATCAGTGTTGTTTTAATGACGTTGATCGGGAATTGCCAGGGTGAACATGGGAAATAAGAGCAAGGCCATTCTGTGTATGACCAATCTGTTGTGGTCTCCAGCTCCTCTTTCCCATCATCACAGCGTGAATTCTTGACACTTTCACATCAAGCATCTATTGAAGATGGTCTTGAATCAACGCAAAGGAACCACTACCTGCTAGAGAAGAAAATTCCACACCCTGAACAGTGTCTCCCACAGACGGAAACATCCTCCAGGTATCTCCGTCACAATCTTCAATCTTTCCATCAGGTCAACTTTCATTCTTCTAGCCTCCAGTGGGCACAGACCACTGACCTAAAGAGGATCTCTGGGTTAGGGTATCATTGATGTGTTGCTGTACTCCCTGAGGACTCACTGGAAATGTCAGAGCTCGAGGCTGTGGAGTGAGGCTGCAACTTTCTGACAGAGTAGCAAGAGAGTCACTCACAAGGTCAGGGCTGACCAAGCAACCACAGCCTGGGAATGAACCTCAGGCAGGGACAGGGATTGATCTCCTGAGCAACTCTGTTCCATTAGTTCACAGGACATGGACTTCAGTGGCTGGGTCACCATTAGTTCCCCATCACTGAGTGTCCTCTGGTGAAATGCTGCCTTCTTATACCACTGTATCTGTGGGGCACAGGGACACGCAGAATGCTGTTAGGAAGCGGGCCCTCGAGAGATAAGATGATAGGGTGGGAATGTCGCTGAGCGAGTTCTCCAGAGACCCAGAGTAATGTCCTTGGGGCAAGGTTTCAAATCACATTTTTGCAGCTGATAAAACTGAAATTCAAACAATAAACCTGGAATCAAGGGGGATATTGTGGTGCAGTAGTAGTGTCCCTACCTCTCAGCCAGGAGGCCTGGGTTCAAGTCCTACCAGCTCCAGATGTGTGCTGTAACATCCCTGAACAGGTTGATTTTAAAATAAAATGCCTAAGCCTAGAATCAAAACTAGTCTCAGTAAATGGGATCATGAAGCTCCTGTTGTACAAACCCATCTGGTTCACCAATGTCCTTTAGGGAAGGAAACTGCCATCCTTACCTGGTCTGGCCTATGTGTGACTCCAGACCCACAGTAATGTCGGTGACATGTTATTGCCCCCTGAAATGGCCACTGAGATTGAGGGCAACTAGGGATGGGCAACAAACGCTGATGAATCAGTGATGCCCACATCCTGTAAATGAGTGAAATAACTTGGGGCATCCTTACAGTGGGAGTTATAGGGAGTCCAATGGTTTCCTTGTTGGTGGTCTCTGTGTTGTGTCTAACTGGTGGTCTTTGGACTGGGTTCTATTACAGACAGGCATGAATGGAGACAGGAGGACCCCCAGATGGTGGCAGAGGTGCTGTTTGCAATCACCAGTATGCTGAGCTTAGCCAGACTGACATCCATCCTACCAGCTCACGAAACCCTCGGAACACTCCAGATTTCCATCGGGAGGATGATTGATGACATGATGAGGTTTGAAATGTTCCAGAATTGAGGTTTGTTCCTGTATTGGGGCAGTAGCCAATAACTCACTGCAGGGCCTGGAAAATGTCTCAGCCATCACCCTCCCACTTTGCTGTCTCCTTTCTCTCAGTGCAGGATTCGCCTGCAATGGGCTCACATTCTGTTCTAGCCCTCGGTTTACAACACAGGTTCCTACCTGTCCCCAACAGCGATGGTAATGGTAAAACTGGGAGATAGGACATTCAAATCTCTATACCCAACTGACCCACCTCCTTCTCATATCCTTCTACACCCATCACCACAGCCTGTCCTTGTGTCCCTCAATCTCCCACCCTCTCCCCATGTCCCTCAATCCCCACCCTCTCCCCATGTCCCTCAATCGCCACCCTCTCCCCATATCACTCAATCCCCACCATCTCCCCGTGTCTCTCAATCCCCACCCTTTCCCCGTGTCTTTCCATCCCCACCCTCTCTCGATGTCTCTCAATCACCACCTTCCCCCCATGTCCCTCAATCCCCACCCTCTCCCCATGTCTCTCAATCCCCACCCTCTCCCCGTGTCACTCAATCCTTACCCTCTCCCCATGACCCTCAATGCCCAACCTCTCCCCATGCCCTTCAAACCCCACCCTCTCCCCGTGTCACTCAATCTCCACCCTCTCCCCATGTCCCTCAATCCCCAACCTCTCCCCGTGTCCCTCAATCCCCACCCTCTCCCCATGCCCTTCAATCCCCACCCTCTCCCCGTGTCCCTTCAATCCCCACCCTCTCCCCATGTCCCTCAATCCCCAACCTCTCCCCGTGTCACTCAATCCCCACCCTCTCCCCATGTCCCTTCAATCCCCAACCTCTGCCCATGCCCTTCAATCCTCACCCTCTCCCCATATCACTCTAACTCCACCTGCCTATTTTGTGTCTGACATCATTGTGGATATTGGTTTCCTGTATATGGGACATGGGTCACCTCTGTCTGAAAGGGAATAATCAAATATTTCTTCTTTGCAGGTTTATGTTTTTACTGATGATCATCTTGACTGCCTTCCTCTGTGGAATCAACAACATTTATGTCCATTACATCGATCTGGATCGACTTGGAAAGTAGGACAGCTGTCTCTAGAACCTCTTCTAGAACCCTCTCTAGAATCTTCTCGGAACCTTCTCTAGACTTCTCTCTAGAACTGTCTCTAGAATTTTCTCTGGAACCTTTTCTAGTCATCTCTCTAGCACCTTCTTCAGAACCCTCCCAGTCATCTCTCTAGAACTTCCTCAAGAACCTTCTCTAGAACACTCTCTAGAACGTTCTTGGAACCTTCCCTGGAAATCTAGAAATTTCTCTGGAACTCGTTCGATCCTATTTGCAGCGAGTTTGTGATTTTTGGTGCTGGATGGGGATAATGCAGGTTCTGGGAGAGGCCAGCACCCCCAGGATAGTGGCCAATACAGTGAATGTTTGTGGTCACATAGTCCTTGTAATTGTAAAAATGAGGCAGAGAGATCTAGGGTCAGTGTCAATATACAAAACATTCAAGATTTTGTCACAGATTTTTTAAAACACCAAATCAGACACTGGGGGTTCATTGGAATTTGAATGGAATTGATAAAGTAATAAATTCTGTAAATTCCTACAGATCTCTGTTAGAATATCAGATAATGTTCTGGTCTTTATACTCTGGAGTGATATAGAGGCATCAGATGGTTCATAGGCTTGAAAGTTGAACACAGAGCTTTTAAAGAGGATGGATTTGTCTTAATAACAGAAACCTGATACTCACAGTCATATAGAGCTACAGCACTAAAAGAGGCCCTTCAGCCCATCTAGTCTGTGCCAGTCGAAAACAACCCCCTGACTATTCTATTCCCACGTTTCAGCAATGGTTGGTAGGTCTTCAATTGCCTGAAAGGGGTTCGATGGGCTAGATGCAGATGTTTCAACTTGTAGCAGAGCCCAGACCTCAGTCTCTGATAAATCCAATCAGGAATTCAGGAGAGACCCCTTCGCCCAGGGAGGGGGGGACAGTGAGGCTCTCACTCCCACAGGGTGGGGGAGGGGGAGAGTGAGGCTCTCACTCCCACAGGGTCAGGG